GGTAGAGGTAGGCAATTGCGCAAAGTAAGAATGAGACCCAATCTGAAAAACAAAAACCAAAAGGACCGCGGACACAGCTAAGTAGTGGAGCACTTGAGGCTCTGAGTTCAATTCCTAATACTTTAAGAAAAAGGGAAAGAAAAAAAAGTTTCATAGAGGATTAGAAAGAGTATGGCTCATTTAGCTCAATAAGAATAATTACCATTTTGGGGATATCTAATATAAGTGAGGCTAATGTCTATATTACATCTGATTCTCAGGATAATTTCAAATAGGATATATTCCATTTTATGCATAAGGACATGGAGACTCAGGTACTTTTTACATGGAGACTGTGGACTTTTCAAGGCCATTTAGAAGAGGCAATGAGGAGGTGCAAAGGGAATGTGAACTCTTGAGTATGAACTCCTGTCCTTTCTTTTCTACACCAGGAATTAGTGTATATGGGCCAGGGATACACATTTAAGCCAGAGAGCCTTCTAAACTGTATGTAAGATTTTTGTGTCTGTACATTATTCTCAGACTAGCCCATAGCTTTATCAGATTCTCCATGCAGATTCATAAGACCTCTAAAGTGTGTGTGTGTGTGTGTGTGTGTGTTATTGTTTCTTTTAGCACTATTATGTCAAATATCTCTCCAGCTAGCTGTAACATGTGGTAGCCCATTGTTTGACTATATTGTAATCTCTTTATCTTCTTTTAGTGGATACTTATGCCCTTTACCTATTTTGTCTTTTAGAAGCCATGTTGTCACTCCCATTCTTAGGTCTCTTCTACACAGCTTGAGTATTCAACACACTAGTGAAAGCCTAATAACAAGCTTTGGTATGAGAGAGCATGCTTAGTTCTGCAAAGAAAAAGTGAAGAATTTTTCTTTTCCCCACTCCCTTCCTAATCATTTATTTTTCTTGTGAAGGAAGAAAATCTATCCAGTAAATTTTAGCTTGGCTGTGTGTGCAAACTTAGCCAGCACCCAGGTGGTTTTCATGACCAGGAGACACCAGCTTCATCCTGATTGAATTTATGAGACTTGGCTCCTTTATATGAAGATTTGGAGAAAGTATACACAAGATTAAAATCTTGGAAAATTGGCCTCTTGCGGAAAAGCTAAGGGAGTTGGGTTTATTTGGCCTATAAAAATGTAAAAAAAATCTGAAATAGGATTTAATAATTTGCAAGAAAATGAAAGCATTTTATCAAAGAAAGTGCAAATATTTGCTAACTCAAAGAGAAATTCAGGCTAATCTGGATGAAGAACCTCCTGCTCAAACCAACAAGCAAATACTGAATATTTTTTGGGTACCCGGGATTTAGAAAGAAAGGCTGTTGTCACAGCCTTCAGGGAGCTGAAGACGGCAGACACAGCGAACAAACTAAACCCAGAGCAAACTCCAGCATGCAATATTTCACCTGGTCTAGACTGTGGGCTTGAGTGGATCTAAGTAGGTGGGCCCTGGGGAGCCTGGGGAGCAAAGAAGCAGAGATAGGTCACAGGGAGGCGTGGGCCTAAGCCTTAACAAATTAGCCTTTGTATAGCTGGTTCTGCCACAGAGCATCTATCCTAAAGCAGTGGCTTCCAGTGGCTTTTTTTGTTTCGATGTGATTTTTTGTTACTCTGATTTTCAGTAAGAAACAGTTTATCACTACCTAGAATACACATACATATGAAAGTGAATTGTCATAAAATATTTTACTTTATTAATGTGACCCACAATGTTGGCTCCTTCCTTCCCTTCCTTCCTTTCTTCCTTCCTTCCTTCCTTCCTTCCTTCCTTCCTTCCTTCCTTCCTTCCTTCCTTCCTTCCTTCCTTCCTTCCTCCTTTTTTCTCTTCCTTTCTTTCACTTTTAAGTATGTCACCTTAACCTAGTAATAGCTTGAAAACTCTTAAGATAACCAGTGTGGAATCTTTCCCATAGAACCAGGATTTTTATAGATAGTGATGAAAGATGAAATTGTCAGTGCAATAGTGGCCATTCATTTATTTATGTTAGTACTAGAATTTGAATTCAGGGCAAGGAGCTTGCTCAGCTGGTGTTCTGTCACTTGAGCCACACCTCCAGCCTTGCTTTTTGCTGGTTATTTTCCAGATGGAGTCTTGATTCTGGAGAATGAATGAGTTAACTTGTAATGTTTGGACAAAATTTCCTACTTCTCATTGTTTAACCAATCCTACCTTTAGACAGTAGATTGACCAAGGTGACTCCCTTCATTTATGTATCTGTGTGTGTGTGTGTGTGTGTGTGTGTGTGTGCATTTTTTGAGTATGGAGGATTGAACTCAGAGCCTTATACTCTACCATTTAGCCACAGCTCTAATTCCCAAGATGACTTTCTGAACTTTATTCTGATGCTTGCTTTCAATTTGACACTTCCCTGTAGAAGGATGGGGGTGAAGAGATCTTGGATCCCCAAGAGCAAGACACCTAGAAAATTCCTTAAACATGTTGGTCTCGTTTTGTGACTGGTGGTGGGGTTTAGGGTATGGAATGTAACACTGTAGTTGCAGAGTAGTTGCAAAGGGTGGTGGAAGGGCTTTATTTATCTACTGCAAGTTCAGAGGAGCAAAGTAGAATCAGGCTTTCTGTTCCACCATTCCCGGCTTGCTCTGTTCCTTGGTTCCTTCCTCTGCTTAGTCTAAGGCCTCCAAGGTATATGAGCATCCATTCTCATTTCTGTCTTGCTGCTAAAGCACTCTGAGCTTCGGCTGTAGCACTTGCAGACTGAATGGTATTGTAGTTATTTATTCAATATTTGGTGTAGGAATCCATATTTTCATTACCTCTTCTGTTATAAGAGAAAAGGAGCTTCTGGCCTACTCACAGTGGAGACTCTAGATCAGGAGGTGTTTCAGACCTCAAAGCAGACTGGCCTTCTTAGAGAGCATTGGGGGTTCTTTCCTGCCATGTCTTATAGGATCCATGTGGAATTGATTTGGGGAATTCCTGTCATCAGATTTTCCTCTAAAGGGTGGAGTGCCATAGCAGCATTGAAAAGGAAAATCCTTTCATATGGCCTTTATTTTGCTTCAATGCTTTCAGTCCTGTCTACTAAGATTTAACATTCTTTTGATCTTCCCAATCCTATTTTAATTTGGTCACTTTAGATTAGGGAAGGATTTTAGAAGACAGTAGTTTTATTTTGTTTTTTAGAATAATAGAGGTAATGATGATTGACCCTTAATGAACTTCATAAACTTTTTTTGTTTCCTTCTTTATAAAATGCCCTGTGGGAGAAATCAGATATAATCTGTGTCTTGGTATTTGCTAAGATTGTTAAGTACAGTGTACTAACAAATGCTGGGGTAGGGCCCATTGGTTTCTGTGTTCTCTTCTTGGAGGCTGAGTTCATAAGGAAGATAATCCTCAGTGTCTTGAGTATGGGTAGACTCATACTTTGAGAAAGATACGAAGAGTCACTGTGGAGAACTGTACTGTTCTGTGTGGTAGTCACTATGATTGGCACATGACAACTCAGCGTTAAGCATTAGGCTCTCACTGGCCACATTTCCAGTGCTTGGTGCCCACATGAAGTAAATGCAGTATTGAAGTTTTGAGCCAGGTTGTGTTCTGTAGGAAAGAAGAAAGAGAGGGAGAGAGGGAAGGAGGGAGGGAAAAGAAGCTGTCTTTTGTACACTGAAAGATTTTCCCCCAGAGAAACGGGAGAGGTCAGTCTTAACGCTCTCAGGGGTGCAGTTCTGAGCATTTCTGTTGTATTTATTTATCTGTGACTTTATAGTATTGGTCTGTGACTTTATAGTCCTGAATGTGAGGACAGGAGGGTGACTCGGATATCTGGTGGACTCACCTGTGCTTTGCAACAGATCAGCCCTAACAAATCTTCTGTTGCATTAATATAAAGATTGGGAACACTTATGGGGGCATGGAAAGAGTGTAGTTTTACAATATTACCACTTCTTGGCTTTTTTAGTCTTTCATGTTCCTTCTGTCTACTTCCTTGTAGTGTTTTATGATGAAGCGTCAATATGAAATACCTTAGATTCCTGACCATAGGATCTGTCTATTGAAAGCTGTGGGGAAGAGGATCTGTCTCTCTCAGTGTGGTTGAGTCCACAGCTGAAAGAATGAGGATTAGCTCAGAACCTGTTATAGAGAAGACCTGGAGGTTGGGCTGGGCCTTCACGGTCCCCCAGGAGCTTTGATGTGCCCAGATTCATCTTCTCCCTCATTGATCTTATGTGCTTTATATACCTTCCAGTCTTGATATGTTCTCTCATTCTTCTACTCTAAAAGTTTCAGTGGCTCATTGCCACCTTTCATATTGAGAACTAGTCATATACTCGAGTTGGGCTCATTTACTCTTAACATGAAGATAATTCGTTTCCTTTCTAAAACTAAAATCTGGTTTTCATGCACATGCAAGTTTACTGTTTCTGTGGTTTGCAAAATAATTTGGGACTGAAGGTGGTTGAGGTTTTCCCCAAAGCTGTTTGATGCCTAATTGTTTGCTCAAAAGAAGTTTTGTTTCTGGTGGTACTTTGTTGATTTGGTAGCATAGACAACTACTTAAAATCAGCATATGACTCAAGAAATTTGGATCCAATAAGCAGAAAAGAAACTGTGGCCATAAAAAGCAAATGAAGAATTGTATGTATTTTAACTCTCAGATAACCTTGAACTGCTGGCCAGTTTGGAGCTGTAACCCAGTGCACTTGAGTGAGCTGTAGACTAGGTCAAAGGTCAGCATTCTTAGGTGCCATCTGTCAACTTTAGCTAGAAATTAGCTAATGTGTAAACTGGATTCCAGGTCCATCTAACTTGCTTTGTCTTCCCAAGGATAGTTAGAGGGAGTAACCTTCAAAGTTCGATGACAGTATTTTATTAAACTGTATGTGTTGGGGGGAGTGTCCTTATGGTAAAGAAGAAGGTATTGTTTAGTTTCCCCTTTGGGGCAGGTTTTGATTTGAAGTGGGAGAACAGAATCAGCGGTGTGGGTTTAGCTGACATCACTCACCTCTTCTGCCTCTCTCCTTTGCTCCACAGACCAATGAGTGGAACAAGAATGATGACCGCCTGCTGCAGGCCGTGGAAAATGGAGACGTGGAGAAGGTGGCCTCACTGCTGGGCAAGAAGGGGGCCAGCGCAACCAAGCAGGACAGCGAGGGCAAGACCGCGTAAGCAGACCATTGGTTACCACATTGACTCCGCCATGGCTCCCAGGGCGTTCTCTAGAATCCTCAGTGTTCAAGTGGAGTTTCTTGAGTCCCTTGTGAGATCGTTGTAAAATTATTGCCATGCCCCCTCCCACTCCCATGCTGAAATATGTGTGAGGGTGTTTAATATAGTTTCTCTCTACCAGTTCCACATTACATAGTAAGCATTTCCAAGTGGCTGTAAATTGTGCCCAGATATACCCACACTTTGCCAAAACTATAGCCAGCTGGTCCTAGCTAAGAACCAATATAAAAGAGAAAAATAGTTTTTGCATCACCTTCAAGCTTTGCTATTTATATTATATAATTTTATAAACTCCCTTACCGTAGATAGGTAGCTATCTGAGTACTATATTTAAGTACTGGGGTCTGTGAGTGTGTGTGTATGTATACATGCATGTACTTAGGTGTGTCTGTCTATCCTTACCCTGATAGTATTGTAAAGAGATCAGGGACTTTGAAGGTAGATCAACTTCTTATGGGTCCTGTCTGTCCTTATTTATAATGTCTATTATTATGAATTATGTGATTGTTGAACCTCACTTTTCTCAATGTAAAAGGGAGATGATAAGTTGCTACAGCACAGAACACTGACAAATGTTGGATACTCTCAGAAGCAGGGTATTCAAATGTGAGACAAGGCATTTGACTGCCACTAGTTTTTTCTCCAGAGATCTAGAAAGCATGAGAAAAGAGGAAGCCTTGTATATATGGTTTGTTACTGTCAGGTTCCCATGGTGGATAACTGGAGTACTAAGACTTCCGGGAATCTTTTTAGATTCTTAAGTAGGGGTTGGGACCTGCTGTCTGTGTTATCTAACCATGGTCCATGTTTGCTCCAGAACTACAAAAGCAGAATCAAACAGTTACAACAGAGACCATATGGTGCAAAGAGTCCAGAATACTTATCTGACCCTTTACATATTAAATTTTTGCTTACCTTAAGTACAGGAGGGAAAGCCCCTGATCTCCTGCTCCTCTGCTAGGGACCATAGTGCTCATGATGACTAGAAGTCTGAGAGGATAAAGGTAGCCCACAGATGTAGGTACCATATGGAAAGAGTTTGCAGTTTCTAATTCACAGTAGACACTTGATTGATGCAATTTTCTTCCCTTTTCATCCCAGACTGGTTAAGGATTTTTGATACAGGGAGCATCTGTTTTAGAAGTATCAAGGGGCTTTAAAAAGAAATGATACCCATGGTTATACATGAGGTGATGTTATGACATTTTTACTTACTTTGTCTATGGGAGGCTGGTGAATCAGTATTTCTGAAATTCCTGGTGATAGAGACTTGTCTTTTGATCTACCTTGTATACCACTGTACAGCCTTCTAGGACTGTACGTACCCCCTCCTGTCCAGCTTTGTAGGTGTCTGTAGAATACAACTTCTTATAGTCATCCCAGAAAAAAGAGAAGATAAGTGTTTATCAATTTTGTCTAAGATACTACTGAGATAGTACTAAGATAAGCATTCATCCGTTTTGTCTAAGACATTACTCACTGGAAAGATAGAGAATTTACATTAGTAGCTTAGACAGAATTGTGAACAGTTGAACAAATGTGTACATATTTTTTGTTCATAGTGTACTGAGCAAAAGTGTACATACTATGCATAGAATAGATGGCTAGACTATTGTCTACTCTCTTTTATTGTGATAAAATACAGGTAACATAGCATTTAGTGTTTTATAATTGAAAGGCTACTTTTTATTGGCAGCAAGCACATTCACACTGTTTTTCACTACTATCCCTTCTAGTTCCAGAGCTTTTTCATCACTATTGGGAGGAAACCCAGTACTTACTAAGCAAGTACTCCCTCCTTTCCTTGCATTTCCCCTGGCAACCACTAATCTGATTGCTGTCTTTGTGAGTTTTTCTATTCTGAATATTTATCATATAAGTGGGAGTCATATAATATGTGATATTTGTCTCTGGCTACTTTCAGTTATCATATTTTCCAGGTTCTTCCATGTTATGTCAGTGTTCATTCAGTGCTTTTTTTTTTTAGTAGTAGTAGTAGAAATATATGCAGCAATTATATAGAAATGACCACTTCTAGTTTTCTGCTAAAACCAAGACCCATGTAATACAGCTATTCCTGGGTAAACTCTGAAAATAGCTCTCACACCTCTGCCCATGTATTTGCAAGTCAGCTATTTCTCATTCAGTGACACATGTGGAAATTTAGGAGAACTAATAAAGAAAGGAAGCAGGGGGGGTAATTATTTTCTCAGTGTAGGATTTTTTTTCATTAGTAATCATCTGTCAACACTTCATTTTTGTGCTTAGGATATTTTTTGAGGACTAAAGTTATTAACTAGTGACCATAAGAATGTGAGAATTCAATTTTATCTGGCTTCCTATTTCTATTCAGGTCTATGATTGGCATATTCAGAATGAGTTGGGGCTTTGGGGTTGGGAACCACCTTTCTTGTCCCTTTGGTATCATATAATCATGTAAAGGATGCTATTGTGATTTTGCTCCTTTGGCCTGAGCCTTCTCACTTTTGTAAGTCTCTACTTCTGGACTGAGATTTATTCTAATCTCCACATCCCTTCCTAAGTATACACTTAACTTTGCCTAAGCTGCAGAAATCTCTCAGTTGTTCCTGTTCTTTCTAGGTGTGTGTGATTTGGTAACAAGTAACCAGTCAAATCTTGGGTGCAGCTCACAGTCTGTGACTGACTGAAGCTGTCCTTGAATCACCTCTGCTGCTGCTCTTGGTTAGGCCAGCTCTGTGGAGTGTTCAAGGGTAGCATTTATTTGTGAACATGTGAGATATGCTTCACACCTCTCGTTCTGAAGGGCTTGGTCACATTTCCTCTTGACAATTCGATACTTACGGCGCTTAGCCTCATTTTCTGCCTGCTCTTTAGAGTTTGCTCATCAACATCAGTTCCATCTCACCAAGAGGCTCCAGACCTCCTTTGTAAAGAGTTTTCATGATAACCCATGTTGTAATTTGGTACTGGAATCTACAGTTGCCTGTCCATGCAGTCCTGGTTCTTGCATTCCAGGTTATTCCCTCTGGCACTGCCTTACCTAGAGTTCTTGCCCATAGGCCTTCTAGAGATGGGCTACCTGCTCCTGCTGCCTCTTAGCAAGAGTGTCCACACATTTGTCTAGTTCTTTGTCCAGTGTATCCTACAATACTGAAAGACCAACAACAGGAACGTTAGTCACGTAAGAAAAACCTTTGTCTTCTAAAGGATTTGACCTTCATACAACAGAGTAAGCTTGCTGTGGGCAAGAATCCTACTGGTTTTGTTTTGTTGGTTTTTTTCCTAATATTGGTATTTGTAGAAGTGACTCTTCAGTGTATCTTTTTGCTGATGGAAACTCATGAGTAAATTACCTAGAGGTAAACTCACTGGATACATGTCACAATTTGTCCCCCAGCTTTCAGGACAGTTTCAATAGCCAGTTTGTTCTACGAGGGGAACTGGACAGCCCAGAAACTCAGAAGCATATGGTGTCAGAGGGACCCATCTTTCAGACATTTTCCAGAAGCCTCCATAGCCAAGGTTCATGACCAGATGCATGATTTGGTAATTCCTTCTCAGTTTCTTCCTGGAGTATTTCCTGCCAGGGAAAGATAAGAAACCATGTCAGAAATTTTCTCCCTCTAAAACTGATCAAAGAGTAGAGTTAAAAAAAAAAAAAGTAAAAGCAGTTAACTGACTGGAATTCATTTAGGGAAGATCCAAAGAAAGGTGGTATCTTGGTTGGAAGAGAAAAAAATGGAGCAGGGCAGAGAATTACAGCTCCAGGCTGTGTTTATGGAGTCAGGCTTGGCTTGCCTCTGCCCCATCTGGTCTCTTTCCTGAGGGGATTGGAGGAAGTGGGAGGATGTCAGTGCCCTGAAACCTTTTACTGTAGAAGAATCTAATTGTTTCAAGATGGTTTCCCCTATGTTGGATGTGCCTTTAATTAAAGTTATGTGTGTTTGTTTTAAGAACAACCAGACTAAATAAAATCACTGCTAGGACTGTAGTATTTGAACAAATACTCACCAGGGCATGTGTATATGTAGACTTTTTAAAAAGTGTGTCTGTGTGTCTGTGTCTGAGACTGTGTATGTGTACATTGACGTAGATTTTTCAGAAACCTGATCTTTTTGGCTTGGAAAGCAAGAGCTTTATGCAAGTACTTTTAGATGACTATGCAATTTATATTTAAAGAGGAAGAAAGGTAAGCCTTGAACTCTGCAAGTCGTAAGCCTTGAACTCTGCAAGTCAGTACAGTAAGGTGCTTCTTTAGCTGGTAGTTTTTTTTGTACTTTTTTTTTTTTTAGAATAGGCATGTGTTCGCTATTTTATTCCAGTAGTTTTGTCTTAGAAATCAAGTCATATTGCCTAATTAGCTATCTCTAGTATTTCCTACAGCTACCACATTAATTTACCTAAAACCCCCACATACTGTATATATAGCTACAGTTTATATTCCTTCCTGTAACATCACTCTCTACCTTTCCTTAGGTAATACCAGGTATTCAGGTCTTAACGGGTAAAGTTGCCCTAGAGACAGAGACTGTGGCATGTGCGAGGATAGTTTTAGGCCCCCAAATCCTCAAGAGACTTACCAATTACATTGATAAGTGATATCAACTCCACTTTGGGTCACATAGACTGTGCCAGTACTAGGGCTTGAACGTGGGGCCTGGGTGCTGTCCCTTAGCTTAATTTTTTTATGTCATTTACTCAAAACTGACACTCTACCACTTGAGACACACCTCCACTTTGACTTTTTGTTGATTAATTGGAGATGAGAGTCTCACAGATTTTCCTACCTGAGCTGGCCTCAAAAATAGCTAAGGTTACATGTGTGAGCCACCAGTGCCTGGCTTCACATAGGCTTTTGAAGATGTTATTGCCTCTGTTTATACCTTGGACATATGTCCAAAGGTTGTGTTCTATTAATCTACCAATTGGTAGGCACTCCTTTAATCCAGAATGT